CTCTGCATAACACCTGTAGCTCCAGCACGCAGGAGAACTAGAAACCCTGATGTTTTGCAGACTATTGGCAATTTCTCTTTGTTCATTAAGCCGGGCGTACACTGTGCGACTTTTTCACTCGCAGCGTTCAGCTTCAGCTCAAACTGTACGACTTCCTCGCAGAGCAGATCTCACGAGTCATGTGCTCACACTGCACGACCCAGTTCTCGCATGCGACCTGACTGCTCACACTGTACGTCTGGTAGCAACACGTCGGCCCTAAAAATATGCTAAAATAGCAGTTTTTACTCAACACGTCAGACTTTTTTGTCTTGCCTGTTGTCCTTCGGGAGTGCTGCAGTAGGACACACAGGGATTTATGGGGGTTGGATGAGGAAAATGAAATAAAGAAAGTAAATCTGTGTTTTGTGATCAGTTTAATTTGACACGAACACGACAAACACGCTTTCTTGACAATCTTTGTGAGTAAAAAAAACGTGTAGAAATAAAAACGAACAGCGTGTGTTATTATGGAAATAGCGGGCGAGCGGTGTTGATGCATGATTGCGCATGCGCCGTGAGCGGTTCTGATACTTTTTGGGTCGCAGCTGCTCGCACCACCGCTTCAACAGTGCGATACCCTCACGAGGGACGAGCAAATGTTTAAACACGCCAGAAGTCCGTGCGAGCTCACGACTGCTGATCGGCAGCTGGTCACGTGGTGTTAATCGCCTCTCGTAACCCCCTGTACACTACACGACCGCTCGGCGCAAAACTCGCCCCGATGTCGTGGATTCTCGCACGACTGGAAAATCGGCTCAAAAAAGTGAAAAAGTCGCACAGTGTACGCCCGGCTTAACGGAGACTGGTGATTTGCTTTGTTGATGCCCGAAGGGAAAAGCCGACAGCAAAAGTAGCTTCATTGAAGGCAGCGAATCACGGAGCTGTCATTTCCAGCATGTTGGATGCCCAGTTTGCACACAATACAAGTGCATTTGCTGTCCGGTTTAAAATACCACCAATCTGCAGATATCTTAGCTCTCCTGAGGAGACATGTTAACTCTGTGTTAGCAGGCTTGCTAAAAGCGGCACAAGTGTCCGAGTCCTTGCCTGCCGTAAACTGTGAGACGTTACCGTGTTGTTTTCGTATAAGAAACACATATTATTGATGTAGATGGACTTACTGAAATGAAAACCAAGCCATTTTTATTCAATTTGAAAATCTCTATCTCAGGATGAACTTAAAAAAAAGGTTAAATCTGATTTTTTTCTCCCAATCCCAATTCTTTCAAAAACGTGATTTCCGATCAGGCGATCGGATCGGAGCATCCCTAATCAGAATCGGCCTATATCGCATCAGAAGATCAGAGCGTTAAAAAAAACAGACAATCTGTATCAGCCAACTGAACCAGAGTCGACGCACCTCTATTTCTGAAATTCTAATCAGATTGGAGTTAACGAATCATGAGTTTTTCCAAATGTTTCTAAGTAGTTTTTGGACCCGTGTTGTTTAGTCTGCAACCTACACTCACCGAGCAGGTCTGGAGGTTGAGGGTCACCAGCTCTGGACAGTGAGCTCCGATGTACTTCAGAGCTTCGTCTTCAAGCTGTGGGAAAGAATCTGGTAAATGAAACTAATTTATCATCACACCATTTTAAAACACATGTTAAAGGGCCTGTATTATGCTATTTATACCTTCCAGAGCAACAATAGGCACAGTATATAACAAAACTTTACCACTGGCTCTATTGAAGTGCCATTTGTAAGTTATTTTTGGGACCCATTCCTTTAAATCATTCACTGCCAGCTGTTTTCTTGCTCGTGTCTAGCTATTTCCATTCTTTCCCAATCCGTTGTCGGAAGTGTGAGCTGCAGATGCTTTTCTGGTTTGCGCATCGCAGTAGGCATAGCGGCGTCCCAAAAAGATCTAATTCGTGGACTGTCTGCTTCATGATCACGGGTGAAAACCAACATTTGAGCCGTGATGTTAATTCTCAAGGTGTGGGAGTTCGTTTGTAAGCCTGCCCTGTTAAAAAACGCGAAGGACGACTATAGTCGTCTATGACGGTGAGCGGTTGGATTTAGAATGACAACTTTAGTCATCAATGGCAGTGAATGAGTTAACCGGGAAATAAAGACACTTAAATTAAATAAAACCCCACCTCCAGCAGCGTGATTTCCACTATAATACACAACTGCAGACCCAGAGACAACAGGGTCACGCTCTCATGTCCCATTAAGGCTCTTATTTAGAAAATTACCAGGTGTTTTACACTGAAACCATGTGTGATTTCCTGTCTAGCCCTATGTTAACGACATGTCCCATAATTAGCTTGTAAATAAATAAATAAAACCCAATCCTAGCTTTAGTGGCGCCACGAGCCCCTCCTGGGACGTGCCTGAAATATTCTGCACCGCAGCAGGTTTGGATCAACTGTATGGACCAGGAATATTCAATTCCAGGCCTCGAGGGCCAGTATCCGGCACGTTTTGATTTTAACCTGCTTCAACACACATGATTTCAATCAGCAGGTGATTAACAGGCTTCTGCAGAGCCTGATGAGCTGCTGCACAGGTGATTTAACCACTCAATCTAGTGTGTTGGAGCAGAGAAACCACTAAAACACGCTGGAAACCGGCCCTCCAGGCCCGGAAGAATGGCCCTGCTATAGACTATATTGGATTGTATTTGAAGCAGCAACGTCCGGCTGCTGCTGATGCCTCCAGAGTGGATTGGGGTAAGAGACTTATGAACATCGAAAATTTACCTTTGTATAAGAAAAACAGGTCATCAGCATCACAAATGATGTAATAAACAGTTTTATGGCGATTTGCATTAAAACAAATTTTTTTTTAAACAAGGTCTTTTAATCTTTGATCTAATAAGAAGGTGTAACTGAAAGGCCTTGCATTTGCTGTAAATAATGACCAAACCACTCTGTCAAGCAACTCATTTCTATTTAGAAGAGCTACACAAAGAACTGGTAACATTCCATTCAGCAAAGTTTAGCTGATGAAGTTCAAACTGAATTAAACGGTCTGCTCTTCATTCGGTACCTGTGTGCAGCCCTTAAGGAAAAGGCATTTGAGTCCAGGGCAGCAGCGCACCAGGGCCTGGATGCCATCCTTGGTGATCTGATCACACCAAGAGATGTTCAGCTGCTCCAACAAGGGACAGCCCTCACTAGGTGGAGGGAGAGAAAAGTAAAAAAAAAAACAAAAACTAAAGCAGCAGTGAAATGAAATAAAGGAAAAAGAAACAGCTTCATAACAGTGAAATAAAACAATCTAATTTTTTTTCTGTATTTTAAAAAAATGTGAAACGTATCATGATGAAGTAATAAGACCTTAAAGAGCAAGTCACCCCCAAATCAACTCTTTTTTTGCTGATAAACTATATAAGTGTGTGTATAATCGTACTGCAGACATGTGTCATCAATAATTTGGCACTTCAGTGCATCTTGGTTAAATTTTAAATATTCTGCCTAAAACTGGCAGTGTTGTGCCGTTGTCAGGTAAAAACTCTGCACTGCATTTGAATTTAAATCTGCCACCGCTATTGGCTAAGAGGTATGCTATGATGTAAACTGGTACATTATGATGTCACAATGCTGTCGTGAGCCTGTGTGTGTGTGTGTATTTGTTAGCGGCTCCGCCCTCTCGGTCTGCCAGGCAACAGCATTTGTTGCATTTTTCAAACATGAAGTGGGAGTGGAGTTAGACTCTGGTAGGGGGTGACTTGCTCTTTAAGTAGGCTGATTGACATGTTTTGTGTTGGGGTGGGGCTTAGATGAACGAAATTAAACAGCTAATGTCTTGATGTGAAAAGGGGGCAGATGTAAGTTTTTGCTTCTTTCTGCTCCTTTTCATTTATGATTATTTGTGAATATGAATTGTTTTAATGTAACTTTTATTTGATTGACTGAATGAAATAAACTAAACCAAACTAAAACTAAGCTAAGTTTAACCCTTTAAAGAAGTCATATGCTTGTTATTTCAAAATAAATCTGCTGAGGTCTCGGATATGAATGAATGCTTTGGGAGTCATTTCCTGTTTCAGGGTGTAGAAGTTAGCCAGAGGAGTTGGGGGTGCGATGGCAGCAGGATTTTGAGTCTTACTCATTAATATTCATGATACACAAACATCTCACCTCTGAGTGGCTAACAAGCTTAGGCTGGCGTCGACACACCGGGCCTTTCATTGACTGGGAAGACCGGAAGGGAACAGCTGTGAAACTGGACGTATGTCCTGTTGCCTAGCAACTAAGACAATTTTAAACTTAAAACCACACTTGGTGGCATTCAAACTACCATTACATGAACAGAGAGGATCCACAGCCAGAGACAGCAGCCACGTTTACATGCACACAATAAATCACCCAATCAGATCAAAAATTCTACATGCAAACATGTCAGTGGGAATGTTCTGATCCGATTCGGCCCGATCGGAATGAAATTTAAAATCGGATTGAGAGAGGTGGTTTTGTCTGATCATCATTCTGATTGACGTGCATGTACACAGCCAATCGGATTGTTGGAGTAAAATAATGACCACTGCGCATGTCAGCAACAGCTAGCAAGCCTCTCCGCTGTCATTTAGACTGCCTGACTCAAGAAATGACGCCTAACTAACGAGCGTCGGCTTTTAAATATGATGGCAAGTCGTCCCAGTTTCTGTGAGCGCAGCAGCTGTTTCTGCAGCAGGTGGATGCAGACGTGCTGGTAAAGAAGACAGGGTAACATCGGTTACACAGACCTGGGCTGAGTTTAAGGAGGCCGATGTTGAGTAGAAAACATCCTCAGTTAAATAAAAACACGCTAACGCAGAGGAGATGAGATGCGGTTCGTTTATTAACACATGATGAACACAGGGTTCGGACTTTCTGAACACCTCCTGGTATTTAGTTTGAACCAACTTTTCTCAACAGTTTCAGCTGATCGTCGCATTTTATTAATAATAAACCACAACAGAGCTCAGTAATAAAACATGAGTCTGAACCCCCTCGAGCGCAGCGCTGCACGGCCGTCACGTCAGACCTGCAGACCAGCTGATCGAGAGGCAGAGACGAAGATAACCCTCCCTTATTTTAATATTGTTAATAAAACGCAGCAAAGCATAAATCTGCAGTTATTCACTGAAGAAAACATAGCTTCTGTGAGAAAAATAAACTGATTAATTATCAGATAAATTGATTAAATGAATCAGGAAAGCAGGAAGAACTTTCCTTTTTCCATTTCGTTTCATGATGTTTGTTTACAGTTTTTTTTCTGGGAAAGAAAACTCTGTACAGGCTCAACCTGTTTAATCTGGTTGAATACTTGGTGCAAACTCACGGCATGATCGGATCATTTCAGTTAGTGTGCATGTAAACAGAGATTCGGGAGTTCCGATCAACCAAGATGTGAATGGGATTGGGGAAATTTGGTGCATGTAAACCTGGCTATTGTAATTGCTAACTGATCTGTGTGTTCAATGCATTTTAAGGTTTTATGAGAATATTTTGTTGGAGAAATGACTGCAAGTCAAGTTTTATTTTAAATGTCGTTATGGTTGTGCTCACTTGCACAGATGAAAAGTCTTTTTCCCACTCTTTGTACCCTCGCTTTTCGGAAATGAACTGAACCGTGACATTAAAACCAGGTTGTGTACTGGACCGGGATTAAAGGCAAACCATTATACCCTGACTTCTTACACAAAAATTCCACATTTTCTAATGTTTTATACATTTCTTTTCGGAATTCAGATAGGATGCAAAAAAAGGATTGATACTGACAATGATCACTTTTTCTGGAAAAAATTAAGGTCTGTTCCTTTAAAGGCCCCGTGTGTGAAATCCACTGAAATCATGATGAAAAGATGTGACACTTTAGCGCCGTGCAGTTCAGAGGAAGTATTGCAGCTATGGTGGCTCACTCATGAGTTTGACTGTATGATCAATTTCCAACCTGTGTAGCCTAACCCACACAAAGCTTAAAACAAGCTACTCGACCTCTTTAAAAAGTATTTATAATTATGACTGTTTTATCAGCCTACCAGTTCTGAAGGAAGCAAGCTAGTTCTGTTCTTCAAGCTGTCACCATTCACACACGGAGGAGGGGTGATGTCAGCCAGGAGGTCAGGTGTTGTGAAAAATTGTGTTCCCTGAAATATTCTGTCCCCCCATGTGGGGAAATCACACTTCTGGCTATTTTCACAACATTTGTGAACAACGTTTACGGGAAAACGATGTAATGTAATGTAATAATGTTATGCTTGTGATTTTTTTATCTGTATTTACTCCTAAAAACTATAAAAAGATACAGAAAAAACTTTCTTGTTCACTCTTTTGCAGCAAACTTATTTATCATTTTTTAAAGTTATGTAAAAAGATGTAATCTCACTCTGTTTAACCATTTTTCATTTGAGGTAGTTTAGTCCTCATAATGGACATTAAAGGGACTTTATGGACTTTTTAATTTTTATGCTCGCGATTGCCCTCTCAGGACAAAAGCATAACGGCAGCTTCAATAGTAGGCTCGTGCACGAGGCGCGCATGCTGTATGTGCACACTCCTTAATGAAAGTAACAGCTGAGACAGTGCTGTGTGTGTGTGTGTGTGTGTGTGTGTGTGTGTGTGTGTGTGTGTGTGTGTGTGTGTGTGTGTGTGTGTGTGTGTGTGTGTGTCCGGAGGACAGGAGAACACGCAGCTAATTAATTAAATAATTTGGTTCAGTACCTTTCTCTTCAGCACAGCCGACAAAGGTTTAAGATGGGTCAGCCCTCCTGCATGCTCAGGTCATTCCCTTCCCTTGCTTGAAAAAATGTTCCAAAACGAAAGTTGAACACATCTTTTTTATCTGTGAATCCAATGCCGTTCGGCGAGTCTCAAATAAAAATTTGGGCATCTTACTGTAAAAAAATATACCATTAATGTAAAAAAGAAACTCTAAATGAACTATGTTCACATCCAGAATCGATCCCAGGTCAGACATCTTACAAGGTGAGCTACACTCTAGTAACATTCAAAGTATCTGTAACTTTTATATCCTTGATGACAGCTAAAACAACGTCAATCCAAAGAATGGTTCGGAGCGAAAATGGCTATTTTGTTGCTAATTTGCAGGAAATATCTAGAAGAAAGTAGCTCAGGGTCCTCAGAAATGTAGCTAGGTTCATCACTAGGCGTTAGGAACAGCGACAAAGTGGCACTGCCTCCCTCTCAGCTGCTAAAGCTACGGACAGCAAATGCTACGGGCTATGCCTGAGCGTGAACGCGCATGGGGCAGCAGTAGTTCAACAGGTTGAGCCGGTTGTCCAGTAATCGGAAGGTTGCAGGTTCAATCCCGGCTCCAGACAGAGAATTCTGCTGTTGTGTCTTTGGGCAAGGCACTTAACCCCCCTTGCCTGCTGGTGGTGGTCGGAGGGACCGGTGGTGCCAGTGCTCGGCAGCCTCACCTCTGTCACTGCGCCCCAGGGCAGCTGTGGCTTCATCATAGCTCATCACCATCAGTGTGTGAATGTGTGTGTGAATGGATGAATGATACACTGTAGTGTAAAGCACTTTGGAGTCATTACTCTGAGAGGCGCTATACAAGTGCGGGTCATTTATCATGAAGCAGCCTGCTCGACCCGAGCAGCTCTCTTTTTCTGTGATTTTTACAGAAAAACAGGCAATCACAGTAAAAATACCAGGGCTCATTCTACAGGACCAGGGCATTGCAGGAGAATGTATGAAGAAGACATTTATTATTTCTATACATGTTTTGGATGTCAAACTTCCATATAGTCCCTTTAAGTTCTGTGGATTTGGAAATGTTTGCTCTTGACTGTCTAAAGGAAGAATATTTCAGGGGAACATAATTTCCCACAACACCCGTTTCATGCGGCTCATGGTGCACCTCGATGTAAACAAACTGGCTGCCGCTACCAGCTTATATGGATATGGAGCGACCACTGGCTGATCGTTAGCCACGGCTGGTGAAGGGAGTGTTGGTGAGCCGGGGACGCGCTGGAGATCAAGTAAACAATGCTGACTTATCCACCAGCCAACCGTGGCTCACGGCTGGCTGGTGGAGATGGGCGTCACAAGCTACTAGTTAGCCATGGCTAGAGCCGGGGAGACGCTGTACGCTGTGTGTAAACTCCCACCGATTACCAGCAAAAGGAGACCAAAGTCTAAAGGTAACGTTTGAGAAGAAGCCCTCTGAGTCGGAGCGTCTCTGTAACACGTGGAGAACTACGCTGCCGTTAGTAAAGTGTTGTGGAGATCAGGTAAACAACGCTGATTTAGCCACAGGCTAACGGACGAGCGCTGGAGCGTGTTGGGCGAGACGGCAGGCTGCGGGGAGAGAGGAGACTTAAGTAGAAAGACTTTGGAACGGACGCGTTGGGACCGGGTCGGGAGTTCTGGTACTAGGAAAAGACGGATGAACAACTTGAGGTGGGTTTGGGAGTCAGACACACTAATCGGAGGCTGGCGTCCAGATAATAGCGGGCGGGGGTCTGAACATATGCAGCTTCCTTGTGTTGGACATGATGACGAACTGACAAATTTTATGTGTTTTTTGATTTAATTGTTTTTTATTCAAACTAACAAATACAGCAACGGTGTTGCTATTCTTTTCTATTTCTTAGTTGAATTAGCAGACTCCATGCTTCCAGGGCGCACTGCTGCCCTCTGCTGGTTCTTTCAGCTTACAGTCATAGACCAAACGGGTAACGTGGAGCTTGTATGTCCCTAAACAGCTACTGTGTTTTAAGATGGTGGATGACCATGGAGCCTCGACCACAGTTTATGTATTTAAAAATGTATAATTTCAAGTTGAGAGGAATATTTAGAATTGGTGTTGGTGATAAATATTAGTGAAAAAGGACACATTTATGAACTGGAAACAGAATTTGATAGTAAACAGGTAAAAATATCACACACTGTGGTTTTAAGGGTGGACCAATGTTGAGAAATTAAAGTCTAGCTGTTTATTTTTTAGCACTCAGTATATTTTGTGAATGACGTTTAGCCACCAACACTTCAAATTTTCACTTAACATCTGTAAAACTGACTAAGTGAAGACATGTTTGTGCTGGTCATGAATCAGGTAGACTTCCAGAGTGAATCAGTTGTAGATTAGCATCCAACAGAGTCGAGTTCCATTAAAAATCCTCCCATGGCTAAAGGAATAACTTGCCAATATTATCAGCTGCATTTCCGCATCAGGCTAAACACGTATGAGAAGTTACTTTTGTCCAAAACCCACTCACCTTAGAGCCTTAAGTGACAGGTTGGTGATGGAGGTACAGGAGGCGAGGTCCAGGTGCTTCAGTTTAGGACAGAACTTACTGAGACTACTACATGTGCTGCAGGGATAAAAATCATTAAAAAAAGCTAATTAATGTTTTCATGGAAAGTCTGTACTATGGTTGAAATACCTGAAATAACCTCATACCTGTCACTGATCTTGGTGCAGCCATTCAGACTGAGCAGCTCAATGTTCCTGCAGTTTTGTGCAAAAGTCCTGAAATAAAAAAAATACAACAGTGGTCCATTTGGCAACAACAGTTGAATTAGTGTAGGTCCGACAGTAAACTCACCTTAAGGCGCTGTCACCAACTCCCAGACAGCCTCTCAAGCTCAGCTTCCGGAGGAACCCTCCACATCGCTTTGAAATGTTCTCCACAACCCGCCCCTGCAGCAAGAACAACGCCAGTCATCCCCAGCTTGTGTTATAGCAGGGCCTTAACCCTGGTCATCCAGGGCCACTACCCGCATGTTTTCTACGTTTCCCTGCACAAACACTCTGGGTGTGAATCAGCAGGCTTCTAAAGGATTTGGGGTCATGCTGAAGGGGTGATTTGATCAGTGAATCAGGTATGTTGGAGGAGGGAAACAGCTAAAACATGCAGGGCAGGGCAGGGCAGGGCAGTGCAGTGCCCCCCCCCCCCCCCCGCCAGAATTTAATAGCCCTAGTTTAGCGTAATTACACACAGAACAGGGAATATAAGTAGGGAAGTTATTTAGATTGGCCCACCTCAATGTCCCTCTGAAAATCAAAGAGATCGATTCTTTGCCAGTTGCTGCCATCGAGGGCCAAGACGTTCCAGGACTGGGCAGAGAACAGGAACCAGTTTAGAAAGCAGATCAGAGCTTACTCTCAAAAAACGCACGCACACACGCACACGCACACACACGCACACGCACACGCACACACACACACACACACACACACCAAACAGAGACTCACCCGAGAGACCTGGGCACAGCGACAGAGTGTCACCACATCCAGAAAGGAGAAGATTCTAGAACACAGACGGGGATGGTTCAGAGACCCTAACCAAGCGGCCCAGAATGTTTTACACTACGCTGCTCTCGGCTCAACCCAACGACTGCAAACACTCAGGACCGCTCAGAGTAAACCAGCCGATACGGTCTATGACCATCAGCAGTGTTGAAGTTTATCTCATCTGTAGGGAAAGTTGTGTTCTCTGGGAGAAACTGTTAGCCTGGCTAGCTATTCTATACATGTGAATATATGGTCTGGCCACGACCCAAAGACAGAGCTCGGGCATGGGTCAGAATCTACAGTCGTCTTTCAACTCATCTCCACATGCTATTGGACACCAAACATGACGTTCTCACCACTGTGGATATCAGTCAGCAGGGCAGTGCACCATGCACTGTTGAAGAAAATACAAATACATCTCTTTTCTAAATAAAGGACCTCTATCTGCTCTTGACTCAAAGAAAAGCCAAGTTTAAATAGTCCAAAGTTGAAATCTAAGCTGATCAATAGTGCATGGCTGCAGAATCAGACTTGTTTTTGAGACAGCGCCCCCTAAATGATTAGTGCTGAACTGCAACTGTAGATTCAAAACATGCCTTTAGGTCCTGTTATGCATGTAAAATTTTATTAGAAGTTAGAAATGCCAATTTTTTATTAATGCAACATCAGATGATTTAATTTCTGGTGAACCCTTAGGCTTATTACATCAAACTTAAACCAGTCATGTTCCATCTAACTGAAATATGTTTTGTGTTACTTTACATAAAATCACACATTACTTTTGTAAAGCGCAGCTTAAGCTCAACCATTCTAGAACACCTCGATGAACAAAACACAGTGGTGGTATGTGGCTCCTCTATCAATGCAGGATGAAAATATCAGCACATTCTTCATTTCTGCAGCCATCAGGATTTTCTGGATCTTCAGGATCTTCTGTGAGTGCTGGAGGAGCTGAGATCAATAAAGTTCAACTTAATTCATCTTTGAGACTAAATGTAAATCAAAGTGGCATAACGTGGACCTCAGAAATGATAAATACACTTTATACATGTTTATTTTATAAACTTAAGTTATTTAAAATCCAGCAGTTGTTCTGCCTCATTACTGTTGTATATTGTTTGGATGGTCCTGGTAGGCTGTGGTGTGTGTGTGTGTGTGTGTGTGTGTGGGGGTGGGGGGGTGGGGGGGGGGGTCTTGCAGAGAAAATAATGATATAGAGCAAAAAGTTAATATGTTTAGTCATCACAGTCTGGACTGTAATGTTCAGCAGCATTAAGAATGATACACACCTTTACTGTTGTATAATAAAAAAACAACCTTTAGCCTAAAGTAACTGGTGGCAGGAGAATCTCGTCTCTGCTTTTTGCGGATGATGTGGTCCTCCTGGCTTCATCCAGCTCTGACCTTCAGCTCTTGCTGGGTAGGTTCACAGCCAAGTGTGAAGCGGCTGAGATGAGGATCAGCACCTCCAAATCTGAGACCATGGTTCTCGAACGGAAAAGGGTGGCCTGCCAACTCCGGGTCGGGGAAAAGGTCCTACCGCAAGTGGAGGAGTTTAAGTATCTTGGGGTCTTGTTCACGAGTGAGGGTAGGAGGGATCGGGAGATCGACAGGCGGACTGGTTCGGCGTCTGCAGTGATGCGGACGCTGAACCGATCTGTTGTGGTGAAGAGGGAGCTGAGCCAGAAAGCCAGGCTCTCGATTTACCGGTCGATCTACGTCCCAATCCTCACCTATGGGCATGAGCTTTGGGTAATGACCGAAAGAACGAGATCGCGGATACAAGCGGCCGAAATGAGTTTCCTCCGTAGGGTGGCCGGGCTCAGCCTTAGAGATAGGGTGAGGAGCTCGGACATTCGGGAGGGACTCGGAGTAGAACCGCTGCTCCTCCGGATCGAAAGGAGTCAGTTGAGGTGGTTTGGGCATCTGGTCAGGATGCCTCCTGGACGCCTCCCTGGGGAGGTGTTTCGGGCATGTCCTGCCGGCAGGAGGCCCCCGGGTCGACCCAGGACACGTTGGAGAGGTTACATCTCCAATCTGGCCCAGGAACACCTTGGGGTCCTGCCGGAGGAGCTGGTGGAGGTGGCCGGGGAGAGGACGGTCTGGAGCTCCCTAGTTGGGACGCTGCCCCCGCGACCCGGACCCGGATAAGCGGAGGAAGACGACGACGACCTAAAGTAACTGATTTATTTCTGTCAGGAAATAAAAACAATTTCAAACTTTTATGAAGAAGTTGGCTTATATTCTTTTCTTTCATATCATCTACAATTAATGTAACACTTTATTTAATTGTCAAAGTGGGAATGACATGATTAACTAAATGTGCAGTTCAGACCGGTCATTTCTACTAAGCTAAATTAGCTCCTAGCTTAGCCTACATGTGGTGATAAACGCGTCAACTCACAAGAAAACGCTCATTTTGTTTTCAAACTTAACTCGACAATTAAATTTAATTCTGAAAGTTTGTTAGAAAAGTTACTTTGATAGCATCAAAAAAAAGGTGCTTCCCATTCATTACTTACCCTCTGATTGTCCTCCATCTTGGATTGTTATCAAACGGTGGGCAGTGCTGTCTCAAAATCAATAGACGCCTAAATCTGTGGTGTACAGGTCTGCAGCAATACCCTTCTAAAACGAGTCACTGCCATCTTAGTTGTTTCGCTATGTCGCTCCATCGCGGCCCCCCAGACCGATAGAGTGCTGTGGTTGGCACAGCACAGTACTGCCAAGGCCAATGGTAGTTCTGAGGCTCAGCACGGCTATACCGACATGCAATGCAAAATCATTTTTCTTTGGCTACGGTCTAGATTTCTAGGATAAGAAATTTTAGCATGCTTAGAAAAAAAGACAGGTAGACTTCTTTAAGCCTGCCGCACACGAGAGCAAGCTGCTGAGCAAACAGCCTCTAATGACCGTTTCCTCAGCAGACACCTCACTGTGTGCGCCAGATTCTCACTGAGTTTTCCACCTCACAAGACGCTGAGGCGAAAATCTGACCGGTTTGATATTTTCTGTCTCGGGGGGGAGGCATGTGCGCACTACGTGAGCTGCTGGCTGAGCTGAAATATCCTAGTGGCCAATCAAAGCCAAAGACTGGCTGGGGGTGGAGTCACTGGTGCTCCAGAGTTTTCCTAGTTCACACTGACAAAAAGCCATAAAACTGAGCAGAATGTTCCACACCACTACCATTTTGGTGCAGAGTTGTCTTTCAGTGTAGGATGGACTTAATCTCAGACTGCTTACTGATCACTTCCTGCTGAAGGACCCCCTCCCCTCATGCAAGTGCTGTGGACCGGACCAGTCGTTTAAACGAAGTATAAAAGTTTTTAGGCTGATTTGGAGTTTTCAAATATATGGGAACCTAGTAAGTTCAATATGAGGAGTGTCAACATTTTAAAAGGAGAAGCAGATAATAAATGTAAAAGAAGTTGTCATCAGGGTACTTCACACTTTTGTAACTGATACAGTTCCTTATGAGATAAGAAAAACTGATCCAGAAGCTATCGATTTTTTTCTCAACTTGCTGTAGACAACACTCTGGAGGAACATAGTGAAGAACTGAATACAGGAACCCACAAAGCTGCAGGGGCTGAAGTTTACAGATGCAGAAAGTTGCAGCGTCATCTGCTGGCCTCACAAATCCTGGCTCTGCACCTGACTGAGACGCCACAGCACAGGCCTGTCTGGCACGGTAGAAGGCTGAGGTATTACATTCATTCTCAGTTTGCCAAGAGACTCCTGAGATTTAATGTTTTCCATCTGAAATCAATTGAAATATTTTATAGCCACAGGGATCTGTATTTAATTATGGTTAGCATTCAGAGAGCAAAGCATCTTGGGTAACAAAGGGAAGTGGTTGGGCAAGTCAGCATAAACAATGACTGAGAGGTGCTGTGTCTTGTGTCTGGGGGTGGGACGGTTCAAAGGTTATCAGGGGAACATGGTGAAGAGTAGCCATTGCCTTTGTGTAAGAATCACATGTTTAAAGTCAGACAATAGAGCACAAAATAAGCAGCACGCCCTCAGAGAACCTGCTGACTGAAGGATTATGAAATGTCACTTGCTCACCGTAGCAACAGCTCCTTAGGCAGCTTCTTATTGATGACCGCCTCGTCACTATTTGTGAACATCTGAAACAGAACAGAAGAGTATGAGTCCTGGCAGCCTCTCTCAAAGTGGCTTCCATCCACCTTCTCAGCACAGACGCTAATCCCATTAGCAGAGATGGATTAAATGTCAATTCTTAGGAATCAGTGTGACGAAAGATAAGACGGCACAGGAGAATTCAACTCAACTGGACTTTGTGCTGTAAACTACTGAGCTGTGGATGTGACAGCCTTTGCTTCTGCGTTATCTTCTAAGCATGCAGACAGTCCCACACAGGGGCCACCAACACTTAGAGGGCTACCATCCTGCGTGTTTCACAAGTTTCCTGCTCCAGCACACCTGAACGAAATGGTGTAATCACCCCCGCACCAGTGAGTTCAGCAGAAACACGTCAATCACATTTAAAACAGGTGTGTTTAAGCCCTGAAGGCTGTTCCACCAAGGGAACTAATCCCAAAAACCAGACTCTCTGAAAATCCTGCCTTTAATTTCCTCAAATTTGGTTCCATGAACGAGGTCAACCTGAAGCCCCGCCTGTTCATCATGGTTACATATGCTCGAGGACAAGCCTGCTTTGGCAGGCTAGCATTGAAGCTTGTTGAATATGATTGTACGAGGCACGTCCCCCTTTTCTTGTTGACGACCGGCAGCTATGGAGTGGTGCATTAGTGCCACCGCTGGCCCACGGCAGTTGCAGCTTTGCTTTTCATGGCTGTTTACTAGTTTATGCTTCTTCCTCAGCTCCACACGAGTAGACGTTTTGCTCTCAGACTTCTCCGTCTCCTGGAGAGCAATTCTCCGCCAGGACGACAGAAGGCGTAGCGCTGGTCTGGGATATCCTCGGTCCATGATAGTGCATTTACTACTGTGTTTATATTGTGCTTTTTGTATTTCAGAGACATTTTAGCGGGGACAAATTTGTCCCCCTTTCTCCTCCACCTCTTCATGCGCTGATATATTGTGCATCCCTATCAGAAATGTTGTGCAATTAGTGACATTTTAGCACAAAAAATTGAAAACAAGATTTCAACCATGAAAATCTTCTGAAAGAAGAACTGGCAGCACATATCGGCCACTGGCTGAGCATTACCTCTAAATATCAGTATAGGCAATGGGAAAACCATATTGGTTGATAGAGGTGCTGAAAAAGATTGATTCAAGTCTGAATCGAGATTCTTATTTATGAAGATTCAGAATCGATTCACAAAGGTTCCGAATCGATTCCAAGAACTCAAATATTTGGCATGTTACAGGTTTGAGACGCACTTTTGTATGTTTTTGTGATCTTTGTTAGGAGAGTAAGTACTCCCGATTACTTTTGTGGTCCCATAAATTAAGATGATTTGTTTGAATCTGCTGATAAGAGGGCACTTGAATGTCATTTTTTTTCCATACTCAGAAATTTGACATATTCTCATATTTATTTTCTAAGTTGATAAATGAGTACTCAGGATTACTCATGTAACTTGTTTCTACACACCGTATTACTTTCAAAGCTACTGTCTGGTGTTATGACCACGGTCATGAGGAACATTATTTCTTCTATTTTTGTACTATTCTTTTTTTTAGTGTTATTTTGAGTCTGCAGGTGCCCTCCTAGGATTGGTGGATGATGGCCAGGGGACGTTTGGATTGGAAGATCAGCTGGGGCAAAGCTGTTAAAAGGAGCCTGATGAGATGCAGCTGCGTTCTTCATTCTCCACTCATTCCAATCAGCCACCACTTGATGCTCTGTGTTTGTGTGATGCCCTTGTGCTTTTGTGACTATTACCTGCCATTCCAGGATTCTGTAGGGGTGAACCGCCTTTTTTCTTTTCATTCCTGTTTTCTCCTGTTTTGGATAGTCAGGGAGGTAAGTTTGGTTGTCAATTATTTCCTTTAAGCTTGTAGGTCAGTTGTCACTCTGAAGTTAGAGGTGTTTTGTTTATTGTTTTAGGCATTGGTTCACCCTGAGTTATTAATCCTCCCTCGTCCTTAGTTCATCGCCTTGATCTTGTGAATAAATGATTGTACTTGGAATTCTGCTGTGGTGGTTTGGAACTGGTGGAAGATTGAACCATTTTTAAGTTACAACCTGGCCCTCCTAGACGGGTTGTGATATAGGTAACTACAGATGTGTTATATTTTACAAGGTAAGCAAAAATAAATGTTGCTTTTTGGTCAAAAGATTGTTTCTGTTTACAGTTTTAGAATCACTTTATTTTACATAGTAAATTAGCATTTTGGAGCATGACCAGTTTAAAATCAAATAAAAATGTGACCCATAGCTTTAACTAACTTGTACAACAAAGTAGTTCATCCTGGAGCAGACACTCTTTGTTAATACTGATTGTGAATCGATTTAAATTGAGAATCGATTCTGAATCGAATCGGCACCCCAAGAATCGGAATCGAATCAAATTGTGAGTTGCTCTAAGATTCACATCCCTATTGGTTGATTTCTAGTTCATGCTAATGAATTTGCACCCTTATGCATACCGGCACGTCTCCACTGGAGTCAACTGCACTGCTTTTTTATGTGTTAGGCTCCAATTTCTGCAAACCGCCAATGAATTTCTAATCAAAAACAACTGCATGCTGTGCAAGAACAATTACAAGTTTGTCATAAACAGACAAGAAGAAAGCCCCAGTATGCAAGGAGGCAATAAGTTAGCATTTATTAAAGACACAGTCACATCCATTCGTGCAAAACTGAAGAAGTAACCAAGCTCTGCTAAAATATGAAATGTAAGCAACAATGTCTGGGACCCACCGATGAAGCAACATCTGGCCCAGTCCAATTTCCCATGAGAGACTTGGGAAAAATGAATATGAACCAGGGAAGGGGTATATGAGGACTTTGGTAGGTAAATAAATAAAAAAAAACATTGACCAATATCTGTGGAAATGTCCAGGATTTTGTAGGTCCTTGCTTGCTGTCTTGTTTGTTTTAAATCTCTAAGATTTCTTAAAAACAAATGACTTGTTTATTTGCGGTTTTAAAAGAAAAGGAATAATTCGTAGCTCCAAACAAATTGCCGTTTTAATTGCGGCATCCGACTCCGAAAGACGAAACTAACTCATTCATCAGCACAAAAAGCAAACGGACGTGTCTGCCAGCTGAAATTAATGCCTGGACCTTTAAAGAGGCAGCAAGCCTTGGGTCAAAGCCTTTTCTATGTCTCCATGATAAACGCACAAGCTCTGCACGCACGCATGCACAAACACACACAGCTGTCTACACAGAGGCTGTCTGCCAGCACAGACATGTAAAATTTTGAGGGGGAAAAAGGGACAGAGATTCTCTGTTTGGGATTTGGGGCAAACCAACTGTGACGGCTCGCCCTCCAGAGTGCTTCTCTACAGCCAAATAATCCAGGGCCACTTTCAAGATGTACAGTGTCCCCTTTTGTAATGCAACATAAAACGAACCTGATGCTGCATGAAAGTAGGCATTATGTTTTCACCACTGGTCAACTATAATCAGTGATGCAATCCTAGCATGGAGGGGGGTTAGCTCAAGCTAAAGATCAAAATGTAGTTCTATTCCCAGGAAAAAAAGAGGGCTGCATTTGTACTGAAGTTGTCATCTTTCTTTATATATCAGCAAAGATTTTCCAATGCATCTGTTAACTTTTACATTTTCCCGAAAATAGTTTATAACATATTTCAGGTTTAAATCCACATAAATACCTTTAAATATAAAAGCGAGTGAGGCCCCTGCGTGAGCATAAATGAAAATAATAATGTTTGTTGTGCATTTGGTGTATTTTGCAATTACACCAATCAACTGGTAATGTGGTGAATGTATTGCCATTTCCACTGTTGTCTTTCAAATCAAAAGGCGCTAGCACTGTGCTGTTTAGAAATGGAAGATGCAACTTTTCTGTGAGGAAAATGAAAAGCTAATATTACAATTAGATTAAATTGTATAGATAAAACCAAAAATGTATATTCGTATTCATCATTTAGTGATAAACATAATTTAAGCAAGTTAACAGCACAAAGTCCCACATTAAGTCAATAATTCACTGTAATGCAAACATGTTGGCTACTCACATTTTCAGAAAATTCAATAAACTGAAATTAAAGCACGTAGACAGGAAACAGTTTTTTTTCTTGCTTGAAACGCTCATTAATTTTGTAGTCTTTAAAATTAAATTGATTGGTTTTTAGTGTTAGCAGTTCCAATCATTGTGCAAACAACTCTAGTATTTATTTTCTTCCATGTTTTTAAATTGTCAGGAATTATTTTGTGATGCACCAATATGAAATTTTTGGGCCGATACCAATATTAAGGTCACTGTTATGGCCGATAAGCGATATTTGCCAATACTGATATACTGACATTAGTGCTTCCAAAATCAGCAGATTTTATATAGAATGAAAATTCTGAAAGCTGAATTTACGTTATTATGTACACACAACACACACATTTATGGTTCTGAGATGATTACATTCACTGTCACATGACTAAACAATTACACAGCTATGGAACTAGGATTGGGACAATATTACATGTAACTTGTACCAAGCTTTGTAACCTGTAACATGTTTTTTAACTGTGACTTTTGTTTTGTAGCATGTTATTCATGTTTTGTAACACGTAACTTTCAATTTGTAATGGGTAACTTTATTTTTTAGCATGTAATTCTCATTTTGTAACAAGTAACTTTAGTAAATAACCTGAAACTTCTATTTTGTAACTTGCAGAAAAAAAATCATTGTTCAAGTTTCAAATCACATGTCTCAAAACACAAATCTTAGTCTACAGTTACAAAACTCAACTCACCAAGTACAAAACATTTTATCCAAATTCTGGCTTGCTTCCAACATGAATTGTCTTTGACAGGAATCCAAGACACATGATTGGCTGTCAGACATAGCCCGTCATTGGTTATTTGGGAAGGAAGCTGGAATTGGAACAGAATGTTTTGTACTTGTAGACTTGAGTTTTGTAACTGTAGACTGTAGTTGTGATTTGAAACTTGTACATTGATTGTTTTCTGTAAGTTATAAAATGAAAGTTTTGTGTTATGTACCAAATGTTACGGGTTACAAAACGAGAATTACAAGCTACAAAATGGAAGTTACAGTTACAAAACATACAGGTTACAAAGCTTGGTACAAGTTACATGTAATAGTCCCACTCCTAGTTCCATACACATCACCCCCCTTACCCTCTGAAACAGGCAAACAAATGGAGACTAGATGGAAAAAACATTGGTTGTTAATATTAGCCCGGTTTTATTTATCGAACCATACCGATATTTTAAAAAATGACCAACATCGGCCAATACCAATATTGATGCAGATATATTGTCCATCCCTAGAATATTTATAATGTTTTTTAAACATTTACAAAAATTAATAAATACAAGCTTTTGATTTGAAGGCCTCATTTGGCGTTTCCGGTTCTCCACTGGCCGAAGTCCGGTTGCTTCTGCAGCAGCTTTCACTGCAGCTGTCGGGCCAGAAGGTAACGGCCTGAGTCCTCCGAGTCGTCAGCTGTTGCTCCGTTAAAAATAAATTAAACCACACACAAATCCCACGCTGGTGGAGATTAAACAACATCAAACGCTCAGGCTACACACGCTAATGTCACCGGCCGGGTACATATTCCTGCCTCCTGCACATCTCACAACCAAATACTCAACTGCGCGTGCGCAGCTTCTACACAAAGTTTATTTTATACTTCCCATCCAAAACAGACCCGTCTCGTGTGGGTGTCTTCAGGTAGCCACCCTGTTGCATGTGTGTGGGTGTTGATAAGGCACTTTAGTGATGTGTAGGTGTTTTTGGTGTGTTGCTACACCGGTGAAGGTAGCACTCACCAGCATAAAGGCCCCCTCCACTGTAGCCACGGATAAACACAAATTCAGAGCTCAAATACACAAAACCAGATTACAGATTAGCTTAGCATTACATCTGAGAAGCACGTACAACTCAGAGGTTTGGACAGCAAACCTCCCTTTTCTGACACGAGCTGTGTGATGTGTGCTTTGCTGTGCTCCGTGGCCTTGCATTCTTTGTTTTGACGGCAAAAGAGGAACGGAGACAACGCTTCTGGACAAAAACATGTCCCTATTAAACGTTACCGGAGAAACGCGGAACGTTTGGGGGAAAATATCGACGTGTGTCCTCGGAGAGATGACCTGCCAGGCCTCAGCAGCACGCTGTCCGAACAAAACAACCGTGCTCGACCTAATCCTAAACACCACCGACTGCGGAAGCGGCATCAAACAGCCTCGCCATAAAGGTGGAATAAACAACGCCACAGTCGTAGTTTATAAATTACAGCTTTCTAACAACTCTGCTCTGTGTGATCAAACGACTGTCAGTGAATACACACGGTGAACTCACCTCGAACCGGCTCCGTGAAACACCGTTTACCTCCTTCCCCATGCCGGACGCTGCTCGGACCGACTCAACGGGTTTGGTGTAGGCGCAACAAAACGCAAATACGGGCCCTCTTCACGATTCTCATGTCCCCTCGGTCCCTCCTGGCGTGTGGTGTCGGTGTTTTATGGACTGAAACAAAAACAAGAAGCCGTCCCGTCTGTGGAGAATGTGGGTTAGTGGCAGCAGCCAGCTCTGCTCTTATCTGCTCGGCTCGTGCTCTCCTCCTCCCTCTGGACCTGGATCCATCCACACAATGGACCCGACAGCAGTGGGAGCCTCAAACTCAGAAACGCCTACACCACTTAGTGTAATATTGTTGCTTCATGTGCCAAACACAAAATGGGTGGTTTGCTTATTTGTTCTCAGTCTGAACTAAGAACAGATACCAACGTGGGGTGTCAACCTTTTAATAAGCGCACGTAGCAGTAGCACATACCTGGCCCACTGGCTTCTGGAGCGTGTTATAAATTAATACAACAGCCTGACCTCAATCCAAACAGATAGGTCCACTTTTTACGATAGAAGATATAAATGCAACCCACAATTCCCTTTGAAAATAATAATAATATATGTTAAAAAAAACACATCGGTTTAATCTTCTAGAACACACACACACAGTAACAGAAACATAGACAACACGGAGGTTAATTTAGTCTTTTATACGATATAAACCGGTGAAACGCACCTTTCTATCGTATTTTCATACTTTTGCTATTGCAGTAGAAAACACCACTTCCGCGTTTCTCATTTTGGACTACGCCCCTTAGAACATAATATCCAATCAGCACTCAGAACAACAGCTTGTCATATGACGTATTCTATGTCTATGAGAGGGACGCATGTTTGACATTTTTAAAGCTCTTATTCAATTTGGAAATAATAATAATAATCATCATCATCATCATAAAACTCACTTTGAAATAATCTCATTCGTTGTTAATTTATGTGATATTTCACTTGAGTTCATTGTGTTGTCATTATTTTAGCCGCATTGTTGTTCCTATTGCCTGTTGGTCCAATCTAATGTTCATTTACTCTAGAACCAGTTCTTATTTGACCTCCAGCAGCACAAACATTTGAAGCTAAGTTTAGCACCAATTTAGGACTCTTCATAAATGCTTTATAGGTTTTCTGGTGGACCGTTCTATCTGTCACTCACTCACTCACTCACTCACTCACTCACTCACTCACTCATTCACTCATGTGGGTCATGAGGAGATGGTTTAACACCAGTGAGATAAATTAATGGTTGCAACTAACATGACGTGCATGGTTTCGGTCTGTAGGAGGAGAGCAAAGTACCTGGAACACCTCAGACAGGTATGTATGTGGAGAACATGCTAACTCCGTGCAGAAAGGCAGCAGCTGATACAGATGAAATAGAATGGAATGTAACAAATTAGAATGTGTTTTATTGCCATCACTATAAGTGTGTGTTTGCTTGTGTGTTCAATAAAGTTTCACAAACTGCAAGGCTCTATGTGGATTTTCCAAATATGCTGTTCAAACTCTCGCTGTGCTGCATGCAAAAAAGCTATCAAAAATGCTTTGGCAGTATAAGTAGTATTATTAGTAGTAGTAATATCACAAATAGTCTTTTAAACATACCAATTACTTTTGGATATTCTTTTGTTTGTGTTTTGCTTGATACCAGCGGTATCAAACATATGGCCCCCGCCTACACTGTAAAAAGGGCTTTAGTGAGGTTGCAGAAATGATATTACTGCATTTTGTATATTTTGAATGAATTGTTTATGTTTCAGGGTCTAAACATGACTTAATCGTAAAGCGTTAACATGATTTCAAAATGTGTCAGGTCAGGTGTACAAGTGCAAGCCCTTCTCTTGTGAAATATTTAAATAATGTTTTCTGTGTAAGCTCCGCCCTCTAGAGGTGGAGCTTTGCAGGAAAATCAACTTTTCGTCTGCCATTTTTCCACTGTATCAGGACAGTTTTCCATTTATTGAGGATATTAACTAACTTGCAAACTTTCCATGAATGAGGCTAGTTGAAGTATAATTAAAAATATCAGTTTACAAATTAAAGTAGAGCCATATGTTGACTTTTCCGAGATATAATCTTTTTCTGATTTAAACTGAGGATGAAAAGGTGACCAGGTGTTAAAGCTGACCTGAATTGATGGTAGTTTGTCATTATCATCAAACATAAATAATAATTCATAATTCATGGTTTCAAACCCTTTTCATATTGACTTGCCTAGTTGCCTTGTGTGAACCCAAGTTTCCATGGTAGTAGGTCTTTGTGGTGCCAACATAGCCCTGCAATCCAGACTAAATAAATATATTATTACAAATGTATTATTATTACAAACTTTGCAAAGCAAGAGTTTGTTCTAGTTCACTAGGCTAGCCTATCTAGGCTGGATGACACCAAAGGAGAAATCCTTATTGAAAGAACATTTTCAGTGAGTTCATAAGAAATGTTTGTTTTTATTTAAAACAGGCATGTTTTTCTTTGTGTTAATTAAAATGTGAAAGGGCAGCAGCGTTTCACTGTTGCTCTGAATGACATTTTACGGGCAAGCCTTTCATATTAGTCTATTATGAGCAGCAGTAGCTGCAGGTGGTAGAGCGGGTTGCCTCATGATCGGAGGGTCATGGGTTCGATTTCAGCTCCCGCCAGGGGTATCCTGCTGTTGTGTCCTTGGGCAAGACACTTCACCCAACTTGCCTGTGTTAGTGGTGGTCAGAGGGGCCGACGGTGCCAAATGGCAGCCTCGCCTCTGTCAGACCTCCCCAGGGCGGCTGTGGCTACAAGTAGCTTACCATCACTAGCAGTGTGTGAATGTGAGAGTGTGTGAAAGCGTCTTTGGGCATCTAGAAAAGCGCTATATAAGTTCAATGCATTATTATTATTATTATTATTATTATTATTATTAGCGCGTTCCAATTAGCGCTTCATGAGCTGCAAGAAACTACTAATGTGTCCTTTTTTCTCTTTATTCGAGGAAATGAAACAGAGTTTGAACCCATCTCGAGTCAATATGGTGGAGATAAAGAACTAACACAGGAGTAAATGGCTGCTGTTAGAGGTTTAAGCCAGGGGTGCTCAATCCTGGTCCAGTGGTTTCTCTGCTCCATCACGCTTGATTCATTGGTTGAATCACCTGTGCAGCAGCTCATCAAGCTCTGCAGAAGCTGTGGCTACAAGTAGCTTACCATCACTAGCAGTGTGTGAATGTGAGAGTGTGTGAAAGCGTTTCACCTCCTGAGTGAAATCAGATGTGGTGAAACAGGGTTGGATACCGGCCCTCTAGAACCAGGATTTGGCACCCCTGATTTAGGCTAAACAATGTCTAAGTCTCATGTGAGACCACCGAGCAGTCTGTCTTGTGCCGTAACAATCAGAGCCTCGATCATCGTTGGAGTTCTCTCGGCTCAGGGGACTCTGCAAAAGAAAGTATGTCAACGCGATCTGGGCGAGGAGAGGTCTCTGTCAGAAATAAAGAAAGAAGGGTTTGATATAAAATTACGAATAAACGTAAAATAATGGACTGAATGTTCCGTTCAGTTGTCATTTACAGTTTACATTTAAAGAGCAAGTCACCCCCTACCAGATTCTAACTCAACTCCCACTTCCTGTTTGAAAAATGCAACAAATGCTGTTGCCTAGCAGAACGAGTGGGTGGAGCCACTAACAAATACACACACTCACGACATTGTGACATCATAATGTACCAGCTAACATCATCGTGTACCACTTAGCCAGTAGCGATGGCAGATTTAAATTCAAATGCAGTGCTGCGTTTTTACCTGAAGAGGGTGCAACACTGACAGTTTTAGGCAAAATATTTAAATTTTACCTAAGATGCATTAAAGAGCCGAATTATTGACTGCATTTGTCTACAGCACAATCAAGACACTCATTTATATAGTTTTTCAGCAAAAAAATGTTGATTTGGGGTGACTTGCGCTTTAAAGAGTTTATTTAAATGTTCTGTTTGGGGTTGGCTTTTTTCTTGTTTGCAAATGTTGGTTCTCTGAGTGCAGCCTTCTCTGTTTGGTTACCGTGGCAACATGGGTATGTTAGAGGAGCAGAGTGGGAGGAGGTTCTGAGGGGTTCTCATAGAGAAGTCCTAAAGTTGTGAATGTGAATTGGATTTGAGCAGCTTGTCTGTCGCTACAGAAAGAGTGCCAGATCACCGTGTAGCTCCAGAAGGATCTCCTTCAAGAAGTGGTATCTCTTCAGGAGCCACTCTGGATTCTCACCAAGCAGATCTCCCACTGGGGTTGAATCTGGGATTCTCCACCATTTGACCTTAGAACTGAAGAAGCCTCTCGGATGAGAGGTGAAACGTCTTCAAGCAACTAAAAGAAGTCCAGACGCTTTTCTTTCAAAGCTCCTTAGACTACAATGACCTGGATGACTGAGAACCTTCACAGACACCAAGCAGATCAGTACGCTCGTGGAAGACGCGTTTCCCTCCAGAGTGCACGCTCTGCCAAATCCTCCAATAACACAAGATCTACAATGTCAGATTCTCGTCCGTCACAGCACATGAGCCGTTTACAGGCTCTACCATCAAGTATGTGATGAAGCTGTTTCTCCACAGACATAATTACTCATTGAGTAAGAATAATTTGAGGATGAGGAACATGTGTAGATAGCTGAGACTTTCAGAAGTGCGGTTCCCCCGTTCTAACACTAGATGCTGTTTGTACGCATGTTCAGAGCTGTCCTGACACAGGTGCCTAATGGCAAGTACCACACAACACTTAAAAATTGTTCCTACACACAAAATATACACAGATCTGTGCATAAGTACGATTGATAAATGAAGGCCAGCATATCCCACAACCTCAAGTGGTCAGCTTTCTCAACAAAGAGGCCTGGTAGAGGATGTTCTTCCTGTGACAGCTGAAGAAATGCGATCACACTTTTGTGAAATCAAACTTTCCACTTAGGAAGCGACACTGACTTACAATGTCACATGCTGTTGTGCAAATGGAATACAACAGGTGGAAATTATAGTCAATTAGCAAGACGTCCCCAAAGGAGGAGTGGTTCTGCAGGTGGGGACCACAGACCACTTCTTAGTTCCTCTGCTTTCTGACTGATGTTTTGGTCTCTTCTGAATGCTGGCAGTGCTTTCACTATAGCGGTAGCATGAGATGCAGTCTGCAACCACACAAGTGGCTCCAATATTGCAGCTCATCCAGGATGACACATCAATGTGAGCTGTGGCGAGAAGGTTTGCTGTGTCTGTTGGTGGAGTGTCCAGAGCATGGATGCGCTACCAGGAGACAGGCCAGTACATCGAGACATGGAGGAGGCCACAGGAGGGCAAGAACCCAGAAGCAGGACCGCTTCCTATGCTTTTGTGCAAGGAGGAACATGAGGAGCACTGACGGAGCTCTGCAAAATGACCTTCATTTAGCCACAAATATGCATTTTTCTGCTCAAACAGTCAGAAACAGACTCTTAGAGGGAGGTATAAAGGCCCGACATCTACAGGTGGGGCTGTGCTCACAGCCCAGCACCATGCAGGATGTTTGGCATTTGCCAGAAACCACTGATATTGGCAAATTCACCACTAGTGCCCTGTGCTCTTCACAGATGAAAGCATGTTCACACTGAGCACATGTGGCAGACGTGACAGAGTCTGAAGATGCTGTGAAGAACATTCTGCTGCCTGCGACATCCTCTGGCATGACTAGTTTGGCAGTGGTTCAGTAAAGCCTGATTCATGCTTCTCCGTCTGCGTCAGTGCGGAGACACGCAACGTCCTTGCGGGCCTGCCGGAGAGCTCCGCAAGGACGGGCGGAGTCGAGCTCTCTTTTCTAAACATCTGTCAGTCGAGACGGACAACGCAAGCTTGTGATTGGTCAGGACGCCGCTGTTGTTTACAGCGCCGCCATTGCGCCCTCAAAAACATAAAGAGAGCCGAGGATAACAAGTGGCAGACACGGAGCAGCTTGAAGAATACCTCGCGAAAAAACTCTAAAAACATGAACGTTTAATTCCCCGTGACTGGAGGAGTGAAAAGATGCACAGCACGCATTTTTTTTGTGGACGGAAATGACAGGAAACGTGGGTTTAGAGGTGGCGAGCGCATGAAGAGGTGGAGGAGGATGAGAGACAAATTTGTCTGTGTTAAAAATTCTCTTATATACAAAAAAAACACAATATAAACACACTATCTTGGACCGATACATGACAGGATACCACAGAACAGCGCTACGCCCTCTGCTGTCCTGCCGGGCAATTGCTTTGCAACACTCTCCAGGAGACGGAGAAGTATGAGAGCAAAACGCTTCCGTCAATCCGTGCGTGCCTGTCCCTTGCGGAGCTGACGGAGAAGCATGAACCAGGCTTAATGGTGTGGGATGGCATTTCTTTGGGGTACTAAACAGCCCTTCATGTGCTCGCCAGAGGTAGCCTGACTGCCATTAGGTACCGAGATGACATTGTCAGACCACTTGTGAGACCATATGCTGGTGCGGTTGGCCCTGGGTTCCTCCTAATGCAAGACAATGCTAGGCCTCATGTGGCTTGAGTGCGATAACAGTTCCTGCAAGACAAAGGCATTGATGCTATGGACTGGCCCACCTGTTCCCCAGACCTTAATCCAACTGGGCACATCTGGGATATTATGTCTGACTTCATCCACCAACACCACGTTGCACCACAGACTGTCCAGGAGTTGGCGGATGCTTTAGTCCAGGTCTGAGAGGAGATCCCTCAGGAGACCATCCACCACCTCATCAGGAGAATGCACAGGCATGGTACGGAGGTCATACAGACACGTGGAGGCCACACACACTACTGATCCTCATTCTGACTTGTTATAAGGACATTACATCAAGTTGGATCAGCCTGTAGTTTGTTTTCCACTTTAATTTTAGTGTGACTCCAAATTCAGAGCTTCATTGGTTGATTCGATTTTCATTGATAATTTTATGTGATTTTGTTGACCATCACATTCAGCTATGTAAAGAACAAAGTATTTAATGAGAATATATATATATATATATATATATATATATATATATATATATATGTGTGTGTGTGTGTGTGTGTGTGTGTGTGTGTGTGTGTGTGTGTGTGTGTGTACCCAGACAACGGATGAATACTATGGCTACATTTTGATGTTACACGGCATCAAATTTATGCCAGCTTTGATTTCTACTTGTAATATGAACTAACAGGAAAGCATGTGGGAACTTTAGTGTCCATTCCAACTTAAACTTAAGTTTATCATTAACTTTCAAACATAATTTACTTCATGAGAGGGGATTGGAGAAGGAAGGTTGAGATTAGATAGAAGCCTTGTCAAGTCTGCTTCCTGCACTGACCAGTAGTTTGGTTATTTCATGCATGTAGAGGAGAACAGTATTGTGTAAGCCTGAAACTGTCCAATGTCACAAACATATTAAATCAAAATTAAAATGAAAGTAAACACATGGCTCTAAGTCTGAGCGCCGCTCATGGACGTAATTTTCACTTTGGAAGTGGGGGGGATACGGGGGGGGGGGGGGGGGAGGGATCTTTACAGTATGCTCCAATGGGAAACAGGCTTCAACACAAATGATTGTTTTCCGCTTGGTCCTAGAGCTCAACCAGTGTCAATTTAATATAGTGTAATATTGTTTTTGGATGGTAAAAAGTGCAGGAGTCAAAACTTGAATTTGGAAAAAGTGGGGGGGACATGTCCCCCCTGTCCCCCCCAAAATTACGTCCATGGCGCCGCTGGTCTTCAGCAGTTACTAGATATCTGCTCTGACTAGAACACAACATTGTTTATAATGCAGCTAAAGTGTGGTTATGATTTGCCGGGTCAAGCAAATGAAGTTTCCAGATTTTTATCCATCAGACTGTGATTAGTGTCACCAAGAAATTCAAATATCTTCATCATATTATCACAGAAGACATGAGAGATGATGATGACGTGTACAGTAGGCAGTGCCGTATGTTATGTGCTCAGGGGAATACGCTCACTCGTATATTTGGGTCTTGCTTTGATAACGTAAAGATAACCTTGTTTAAGGCTTATCTCACCTATGGACTAACTACAAGAAATGTGGTATGGCTGCAGGTTGCCCATAATGATGCTCTGCGTTTGATTATAAGGAAGCCTAGATGGACGAGAGCAAGTGAGGCTTTTGTAAATGAAAGGGTGAGCACCCTACAAGCTGTCTTAGGAAATAGTATTTATACATTTATTTGTAGGCTGAAAAATTATAAAAATGTGATTGTTTTACATCTAACCAACACCTGTATCAGTGCAATATTTATCCAGACAAAAATGTGGAAACACTGGTATAACAGTCTCTTGATTATTGTCACGGGTTTCTGTTCTTCATGATTATCTGTCTCTTGGGCTTTAATATGTCACATTGTGCCTATTTCAATCAATTTATTTCACTTAATTTGCCTGGATTAAACGGGATCAGTGTAAACATTTAGAAAGTGGAATCAAATCTAATAACACCATATGCGGGTTTCAATTTTTTAATCTGCTTTCACTTTCATCAGTGTAATAAAACTCTTATTTATAATACTTAATCTTCAGTAAGTTTAAAATTGAAACCCACTATATAAAGCTAAATAAAACACGTGAGAACTATTGCTATTATAATCATGGTATTATAATCAACTATTACTAATAAGGCACCGTGATTTCATCTGAGGTTTGAACACGTCTTGTGCAACTTCGCACAAACTGTCAACGTTTTTACGTCTCTGTCGCGCGATCGCAAGAAGAGCAGGCGGGCTCTTAAACGTGATTGGATGTTACTAAGATACCAGCGAGCATGTTAGCGTTCCCCTTTCCGGTTCATTCGCCGTTCGCAGAAGTTGGTAGTCAGGAGCCACAATGGCGTTTGTAGTCTGTTTCAGATAGGGTTGTGGATGATATAAAATCCACTAACATCGCCCTAAATACAGGCCTGGTTGATTTCCAGAGCCATTAATAATAAACTGGAACATTTACTACACACGAAAATACTATGATTTCTTATCAACATTGAGTTTATAGAGGATAAAACTTACATTAAAAGGAACATGTAAACAGCATCTACCGGGTCAAGTTTTCATTTTGCTGGCGAAGCGAGCGTCTTTAATTCAAGACATTTGCTTGTTTCGAACAGCTAAGAACGTTATTTTGTGGAATAAAAATACTTTTACTTAACTTGGCTCCGGACACGGACAGCTTTCACAAAAGGACTTTTTTCTTTTTTATCAGTCTGCTCGCTAGCTACCGAGCATTAGCTAGCGGTGCTAGCTACGTTGAGGCGGAGAAGACACCACAATGCTCCAATGTCTGGTTTGGACCTTTTTATCCATTGACCAACTCGGAGCTTAAACGCCGCAGCTCAAGACAACCACTTTGGCATTTTAAACTCTTTTTTTGGACTAAGTCAGCCGGTGATCTGATGGAATGAGTCGACGCTAAGGAGGACAGGACGTGAGCGGCCTAGAGTGTTTATTTGTGTTTATTCTTGTGTTGTTTCTGATCGGTAACACTTGTTTTTGGGACTTGGAGTAGCTTCCTTTTTTCCTGTTAATGATCTGCACGGATCACGGAGACCGAGCCACAGTACAGGCACCGACGCCGGCGCGAGGTATGCCTGGGTCGGACCGACACCATGGGACCCAAGAGGAAGACTGATTCTACCAGCGGTGTGTCACACCAGGCCCAAGGCCTGGCTCGTACCTCTGAGGGAGCCATGCCAGGCACAGACGGTAAAGCGTTGTTAAAATCTACTATGTCCTCTAACAAGCGTAAGCGGCATAAATCTAACAAAGTTAATCGGGACTCATTGGCGGAACCAGGATCCGATGATTTTGCCCTCCGTGATAGGGCGCCGTCTGGCGTTAACACGGTGAAGCCTCTGGTGGAGTACGACGACATTAGCTCGGACTCGGACACTTTTTCGGAACCTTCGTCCAACAAGCCTTCTGACAAGGCGGGCGGGGAGCGGTTCGACCCCTCACCGGACTACAAGGGTGACTTTAACCAAGAACCTGACACCAGGGAGAACCGGGGGCGCAGACAGTCCCGGAAAAAAAACAAGGATCTGAATAAAGTTCGAGAATCTGGGAATGGCCAACACGAGTTAAAGAAGAAGAGCAGCAAAGAGCGCGAGAAGAGCAGCACTGCGAAGAGCAAGGAGAAGTACGCTTCGTCAGGCTCGTCTTCCTCCAAACGCCAGCTCCAACCAGAAAGTGACACCAAGCGAGGGGAGTTGATGCTCTCTAATGCACAGACTGCCGCAAGTGTAGGAAGCACCACTTCCTCCACGTCTTCATCCCGCAGCAAGGAGAGCGGTCGCTCAGGGAAGTCCCAGAAAGACCGGCAGCAGAGACGAGAAGGCAGAGGGGAGGAAGGCCGCAGCTCCTCACACCGGAGCCGGACTGACCGGACCCACCGCAAGTCCTCCAAGAGCCACAAGTCAAGCCCAAAGGGCAAGTCCTCAAGTAGGGGGAGCCCTCGCAGAAAGGGCACCAGCTCTGCTCTGTCACCCAGCGAGAGTCCACTGAGCTATGGGCAACAAGGGGACGACAGCTTCTCCAGGCGGAGGATGGCCCAGCAGAGCCCCAGCCCCTACAGGGACACCTACCACCGCGGCAGGCAAAGATCAGACAGCCCCTACGGCACCAGGCACCGGTCCTCCAGCGTAGAGAGGGACAGCAGTCCCTATTCAAGGAGAAGGTCCAACAGCCCTTATGCTACCCGCAGGTCCTCCAGCACCAGCCCGGTGTCTCGGTGAGTATGTGTTGTAATGCATCTTTATGGAATATATATGTATTAGAAAAAACAGTCAGTTGTTATTGCTTTAGTAAATAAATCTGTTGACTTTGTCACCTAAGCAAACCTTCAGCGATGCTCCAAAACAACTACAGTCGATGAACCAGTACCATGTTCTGTGGGGAGGAGTTTGTTTCAATAATCAAAAGTTAATCAAAGTGTAAAACTGGTAATCCTAGTTCCTAAAGGCCAGTTGGAATATCAGCAGGTCAGAGCTGCACAAGAGCCGGAGATCGGCCTTCCAAAAACAGAATTGGTGCATCTCTAAACAAATCAGGGTTGTGGCCTAAAATACATGATGTTTTTGTCTTAATGTTGCAGGCATCAAAACACTTGAGAGTTCAAAACAGATGTGTGTGAATTTTGTAGTGTGGAGGGAAAAAAATCGAGCACAAATCTTTGATTTTATTTTGCGTTCATGCAATGATCTGGAAACAAGTCTTTATGGTAACGTCGTGCAGCAAGTCGCTTCTGTTATGTTAAAGTCTATCTTTTTTTAGGCTTTTTCCTCCTAATGTCAGTTTTTATGATTTCACTTGATAACATTGCATTTCATTCTCTACAAATGTTTATTCTGGCAAAACCAGCTTGTAAAGATTTTATTTTGGAGGGAAAACAAACTTTGTAAAAAAGCTGAAAACCAGCTGATTAAAGCTGTAGTGACAGTTTAAATTCATGATCTGCAACTTTGCCAGCTTGCTGTGATGTTCTCTATTCAATAACTTGTGATTTTTTTATTTTATTTTGTTTTTAATGAAGTAAACATTGTCAGGCCGCTGTTAATGTGGCGTTTTTCCACTTATTGCATCTGCTTTGTTTTATTCAGACGCTCTGGCCGCTCCAGGAGTCGCTCTCCACCGCACTACGCCTCTCGGCGCTCCTCCTCTCGTTCCCGCAGCAAGAGGCACGCCACCTCTGGTGGAGCGGGAGGCAGCACCCACAGCAGTCGTGCGGCTAGCCGCTCACCTCCCTCCCGCCTACCCCTCAACTCCAGTCTGGGTGCCGAGCTCAGCCGCAGAAAAAAGGAACGTCTGGCTGCCGAAGCAGCGGCGGCGGCTCGTGCCGGCGCCAGTGGCACCGCTTCTCCCCTCCCAACAACAAACAAAGCTACAGCTTCTGCTCCACCGCGGCCCGCTAAAGCCGAACCCCCCCAGATAGAAAAAGACTCACCAGCTAATGTAGAAACTCAGCCTCCATCAGCTCCACAGTTACCCTCTGATGGTCCCAATGCTGAAAATGAAATAACTCAACCTTTACCTTCCTCCTTCCCCACCTCGCCTGCACCACCTCCTCCTGAGCCCTCCCCACCAGTTCCACCATGTCCAGCTAGCCAGGCGCCCCCACCTCCTCCCCAAACAGAAGCAGCCATTCAGCCTCCTTCAAATGCCACGTCCCGGCCTAAATCGCCACCTTCGGTTCCCGTACGCAGTCCTGTTCGCCAGACCCCGCTCCACAAGACCTCCACTCTGCCCCCCCTGCCTTTACCACCTTTACTGCTGGGAGTCACCCAGGACAGGTAAGATGCCCCCCTCACCTGTTCAGCAGCTCATCGATGCCTATGTGTAGGAGACACGATCAGCCAATGGCCGATATGTTCTGCCGATGTTTTTGGAGGTCAATACTAGATGTTATTCACTTTAGCTGAAGCAGTGTTTGAACACAGAATTTGACCAACTGTTAAATCTTAAAGGGACTTTATGGAGTTTTGAATTTTTATGCTCGCAACTGCCCCCTCAGGCCAAAAGCGTACCGGCAGCTTCAATAGTAGGCTCGTGCACGAGGCGCACATGCTGTACATGCACACTCCTTAACAAAAATAACAGCTGAGACAGTCCTGTGTGTGTGTGTGTGTGGCCCGGTGGGCAGAGGACAGGAGAACGTGCAGCTAATTAATTAAATAATTTGGTTCTGTACCTTTCTCTTCAGCACAGCCGACAAAGGTTTATGATGGGTCAGTCCTCCTGCATGCTCAGATCATTCCCTTCCCTTGCCTGAAAAATTGTTCCAAAATGAAAGTTGAACCCACATCTTTTTTATCTGTGAATTCAATGCCGTTCGGCGAGTCTCAAATAAAAATTTGGGCATCTTACTGTAAAAAAATATACCATTAATGCAAAAAAGAAACTCTAAATAAATTATATTTACATCCAGAATCGAACCGGGGTCTTCCCCACAGGAGTCCGCCGACATACTGGGCGAGCTATAGCACCAGTGACGTCTTTTGTATCTGTAATTTTTATATTCCTGATGACAGCTGAATGGTTTTTTTGCTGCTAATTTGCAGGAAATATCTAGAAGAAAGTAGCTAAGGGTCCTCAGAAATGTAGCTAGCTTTGTCACTAGGCGTTAGGAACAGCGACAAAGTCGCTGAGTTGGCACTGCCTCTCTCTCTGCTGCTAAAGCTACGGATAGCAAATGCTACGGGCGATGCCTGAGCGTGAAGCATGAAGCAGCCTGCTCGACCCGAGAAGCTCTCTTTTTCTGTGATTTTACAGAAAAACAGGCAATCACAGTAAAAATGCAAGGGCTCATTCTACAGGACCAGGGCATTGCAGGAGAATGTATGAAGAAGATATTTATTATTTCTATACATGTTTTGGCTGTCAAACTTCCATAATGCCCCTTTAAGTTTGGTCACTGCTCGGTGTTAAAGACGGACGTCTAAATAAAGTTATTCAAACAAATCATTAAACTGACCCAGTATAAAATATTTAAAACTGGTAAATTAAAAGAAGTTTTATTAGAAAATTAATTTGAGAGCATTTATTATGCAGATGTTATTCAGGAATGTAAAATGTCATTTAAATTGAGTTCTGCAACTGCACCAGGCTGCCCGGGGATGTGCCTGACTTTAAATCGGCTTTACTAAGACGGTATATCAGCCAGTGCCATTATATAAAAAATGGTAAATATCAGCCTGCCCCTTCTTTTGATCACCTGATGATTAAACGCAGGTGTGTTGGAGCAGCAAAATCACTAAAACATGCTGGATAGAGGACCTCTAGGACCTGGATTGGACACCACAAATCTACACCTTCAGCTGGTGAATGTTCTGTTATCCAGGGAAAGATGATCCTAGTAGGTTTGGGAAAAATAAAACTGGGATTATTTGTTCTCCTGAAACTGTTTTCATTGTTTCTTCATTCTATAGGGAGCATGAGTCTCCTCCCTTTCTGGCCGGCTCAGGGGTCCCCGGAAGAATGAAAAAATGAATGCAAGTCAACGAAGCTAAAAGAGCTATTTTCTAATCCGCTCTGCCTCACGCCCCGATTTGCACACATGTTGTATTTAAAAGAAAAGTAACGAAATGTGTTTTGATCACGCCTGTCACGTACTTTGAGATTTATTTGCTTGCAAAAGTTCATAATTAGCATGACTACAAATCAGACATCGGTATGTCGCACCACAGAATCTCCTCTCCCCTAGCGTAGCTGCTACTTACCACATGACCAGATTTATGGTGGTTCTTTCCTCCTGAAGGAAATACTTAAAGTTTGCTGAACTAACCCCCAAATTCCACTACCTCTGCTCCGCTCCGGCACGAACTCCGGAGCAAAATTGGTCCCGTTCTAGTCAATCAGAGCAATTCCACTACTGCGGCCGTGCTCAGGCAGTGCGGCGCCCTCAGTTCCGGCGTCCGACAAAAATAGAATCGATCCTATTTTTGCCGGACGCCGGAGCACCTCCGCAGTAAATGGACAGGAATCACAACTGCCCAACAGGAAAAGGAGCAAGCACAACTTCCGTTTTTCACAATAAATCGATAAACAAAAGGCGTTTTTTGTTTCATATGCACACAACTTTTAACAACTATCAATGGCGGCTGAAGTTTAAATGCACAAAAGTAAGCCATAAATACAGTTTCTACTATCAAAGTAGTCACACTTTGTTGATCCAAACACTGCTGATCTGTCAACACAAATGATGGGCAGATTAAACAGTTCATGCCGATGCTTCTCCCACACAGCGGGTGTTTGGATCTAACTTCCACGTTTATTGCTCGGACTGTATCGCAAGATCTCGAAAGTCCCGCGCATGCTTGTTTGCCCACCTCAGGTCTCCGCACCGGAGCTGAGCCGTTGTAGAGCGGGTACCAGTAAAAATTGAGTTCGGAAGCGAGCGGCTGCGGAAGGCGGGGGCGGACCGGAGGTAGTGGAATTTGGGGGTTACAGTTTTCTCCATGTCTGGTTCAACGTCACTTGTAGCGCAATTGTAGTCCTGGACTTTTTTTTCTCACAAAACCTAAAATAGCATTTCTCTCCCATTTGAGAATAAGCGCTTTCTTGGTATCAAAATGTGTCTTTAAAATTCACAGACGTCATATGTGAAACCCATGGCACAAAACAAGCGGGATTAGATAATGGCGTTTTTAGCCCCGTTGACTTGCGTTCATTTTTTCGTTCTTCCGGGGACCCGTGGTCCGGAAGTAGATGGGCGTGACTTAGCTTTCACTTTGCTAGTAGGGAGCCTATCACATTTTTGACCTGCAGTGAAATCTTCATTAATACAAGCTAGATTATAAAACAACCACCCTCTTCTACCTTTTAAAATACTTTTAAAATGGTACTTATATTTTTAATAAATTTTTAGTGGTCACTAGTATGAATAATTGACCCGCACTTGTATAGCGCCTTTCAGAGTCAGAGGAAACCCGAAGCACTTGGAGGTACGTCGTATTTGATGGTGAAGCCTGTTTCAGGAACTAGAAGTGAGCCAGGTCAGAGTTGAGCTTCACACAGCAGGATTTGAAGTCCTTTTTCCAGACATTTGGACACCTCTTCTTTGATTGGCTAACAGCAACACGACTCTACCACGGACTCTGTTTGCTCTGCAACATTGATGTTTGATGTTCACAACTAACACAAGCCTAGAGGAGTTCGGATGTGTGGTGGAGTTGCAAATGCTAACGTTTAGCTTATACCAGTCGAGGCGTTCTCTGCTGTTTCCTGGACGCTAAACCAACCACAGCCTTCTCAGTTGCAAGCCAAGATGGGTGACTCCATGAATGTTAAGTGACAGGGTGACGTAGATCTGTCAGGATTTTCTAATCCTAGAGTTTCACCGTCTGTTTTCTATCAGAAGCTAATGCAGGAGATAGGTGTCTGCCTTATGAACCAGAATAACAAAGACCCTGACAATCCCCTGGAGGGAAACCGTGGAGGATTGTTTTTCAATTTAAAATTTGTAAACAAAACTCTTACTGTTATTTATTTGAAAAAGCATCTCGAGATATTCCCACGTCTTTATGGAAGTGAATAATTTCCAGCTCCCCTGTTTTTTACCGACACCGATTATTTTCTTTGAACGGGTCGACTCTTATATAAAATGATTTTTGTCCTGTTAGTCCAAAGAAGTCCACCCCTCCTCAGAGGACGTCGAGGAAAGAGAAAGAGGTTCGCAACCGACCTTCCGTCATCGACCTCCCTCTACCGCCCACTTTGCTTGGTGTTGACTCTTCGCCTCCACAGTCGCCCGTCCGGCAGCTGCCCCCGTTGCCCCAAACAGTTCTTAAGAAGAGACCAAAGTCAGTTGCTTTTTTGACTCAGCTCAAATCAGTTTCTTGACTTTTGTCCCAAATCAGACATAACTTTTATGTGGTTTCCAGGATTTGTTGCCCACGATACGGTGAGCGCAAACATGACCTGAGTGACTGGGGCAAACGCTGTGTAGATAAGTTTGACATAATTGGCATCATAGGAGAAGGCACCTATGGCCAGGTGTACAAGGCCAAGGACAAAGACACAGGTAAATATCAGTCCCAAATACCGCTAAAGTAAATGATCCGATGATCACTTTGGTTCTAAATTTCCGGTGTGTTCTCCATCTTTGTTAGGTGAACTTGTTGCTTTGAAGAAAGTGCGATTAGACAATGAGAAGGAGGGTTTCCCCATCACAGCCATCAGAGAGATCAAGATCCTACGGCAGCTGAAACACCGCAGCGTCGTCAACATGAAGGAAATCGTCACGGACAAGCAGGATGCTCTCGACTTCAAAAAGGATAAAGGTAACGCAATTAAAGTTTTATCTTTGTTTGTGTACAAAACAAACATTAACCCAGACATTAAACCACCTGAACAAACCTAAAGCCTGGCGTACACTGAGACTTCTTCACTTTTTGAGCTCGCGCGAGAATCTACAAGATCAGGGCGAGTTTTGCGCTGAGCGTGTCCTACACAGGAGGTTACGAGAGGTGTTTAACTTCACGTGACCAGCTACCGATCAGCAATCGTAAGCTCGCACGGATTTCTGGCGTGTTTGATGTTTAGCTCGTCCCTCGTGAGGGTATCGCACTGTTGGGTGGCGCTGCGACTCAAAAAGCACCAGAACCGCTCGCGGCGCATGCGCAAACATGCGTCAACTCGGCTCGCCAGCTATTTCCTAACATACATTGCTCGTTTTTAATTCTACACTTTTTACGCACACAATGACAAGGATAGTCAAGAACGCATGTTTATTTTTTCCGGAACTGCGCTGCTCTGGGTGGCTGCATGTTGGAGTAGCTCTGTTGACTGTATGTAAGTTTAGCCTTTTCTTGGGCATTTTTTCTTCTAGTTTCTCAAGAAAAACAGTATTTTTTGGACACTTTACTTTTATGTTTCTGGTGCTGTGAAGCTTGGAGGATTTTTGCTGCTATTTTTTTAAGCTTTTTTCACTTTTTGAGCATTTGTTATGATGCGTAACCATGGCAACAAGCTGGTTTACAATCGGGAGCAGCTGATTAACAGTGGAAAGGCTGAAATAATACCTCAACTGAAGCCACAAATCCCAAATGAGCTAAAACACAAGAAGCGTGGATGCAGAGCGGGAGCAAAACGGAGACAGAGAAAGAGGAAATTCAAACCATCTCTTCCATCGATCATAATGGGCAATGTGAGATCACTGGCCAACAAGATGGAGGAACTCCAAGCCCTTTCAAGGACTCAGCCAGAATTTCGCCAGTTTCGGAACCACCTGAGGAGAGAATGCAAAGAAGGATTCTCCAGAGAATCAAGAAAATGATGGACAACCCTGAGCATTCTCTTCACAAGACTGTCCGACAACGGAAGAGTGTCTTCAGTCAGAGGCTTCTTCAGTTTGGCTGCAACACTGACCGCTACTGGAGATCCTTCCTGCCAACAGCCATTGCAATATACAACAACTCTTTGATGACTTGATTAATATTATTATTATTCTGAGCTACTACAGCAATCAGTTTCCCTCTGGGATTAATAAAGTATTTTTGAATGTAAATGAATGTTTGCTGTGTTTCAAATGAAACGGATCACAAAATATTAATTTACTTTCCTTTTTTTTTGTCTTCCTCATCCAACCTCCATAAATCCCTGTGTGTCCTCCTACAGCAATCCTGAAGGACAACAAACATCAGTAATAACACATTAAAAGTTCGGCATGTTGTGTAAAAACTGCTATTTTTAGCATATTTTCAGGTTTGACGTGTTGCTACCAGACGTACAGTGTGAGCACACGACTCGTGAGATTTGCTCTGCGAGGATGTCGTACAGTTTGAGCTGTAGCTGAGTCCTATGAGTGAAAAAGTCAGTGTCCGCCCGGCTTAAGAGTGAATGCTCGATTTTTCTTGTTTACAAGCCTTTCTTTTATGAAAAACACAGTTTTTCTTCATTTGTTTCAAACTACATCTTCACTTGAAAGATCTATAAACTACCGATGTATAGCTCTGATTTATTGATTAAAGCACTGATTTAATCAAACTCATAGTTGCTTAATACATTGCTGCATCATAGTGATATGGCAGCTGATAATCACCTTCCTTTCTATGTGAAATAATCACAAAATGGTCTGTCCCATCCGTGTTGGAATGAAGCTTACATTTGCCTCTTTTAGAAAACAACGCTGCCAATTAGCTCCAACGCCGAGCCGGCATCTGGGAGCTTTAGGTTCAGACCGTGGCGGTGATGTGGCACAATCATGTCATTTTTACATAAGCTTATGCAATAGCGGTGTAAGGAGGTACGGGTTCGGTCTCGGCACTGCTGCGGACTTCTGTTTTACTTGGACATAACTTGCTTTTTATTGTTTTTATTGTGATCGTGATCATTAAGTTTTTTTCACAAGCCGCTCCTAAAGGTGTCTGTCCTACACAGTCCCCGTGCAGTCTCTAGTGATCTGAGCTCCAGCTCGAACAGAGAAAAGCTCCTGGAGTTCAGCGTCGCTTCAGTTGATCATCTCGGCTGATTCTGTTTACAAAAGCGAAACTTACTGCCCGTCTTTACTTTCATTTTCAATATTGTAAATAATGCAGTCGCGGCCAGAGCACAGCAGTAATTCCCCACATGGTCATGACACCACCCTCTGTTGTGCTAAGACATAATATGCATTCACAAGGCTGGCATTGTGCCAATATTACTGCCCAGCATGTCGGCGCGAATGCTGCAAAATTCCTGCAAAGCCATGCCACAATGGTACATTCATAAGACACACTGTGGCGGCAGTATTATGCTAATTAGCCGGCATGGTGTGTCTTCTAAGGTTGCCGGTTTTTATCCCGGCTCCGCCCAGAGAATGCTGCTGTTGTGTCCTTGGGCAAGACACCTAACCTGCTTTGCCTGCCGGTGGTGGTCAGAGGGACTGGTGGCACCTGTGCATGGCAGGCTTCACCTCTTGTCAGTGCGCCCCAGTGCAGCTGTGGCTACATCATAGCTCATCATCACCAGTGTGTGAATGTGTGTGTGAGTGACTGATTTTGTTGTGAAGAGCCTTGGGGGGTTGTAGAACCCTAAGTAGGTGCTATACATATACAGGCCAGTCACCATAAGAAATGTCGCCAGCTCTTCATCTGTTCTTGTGTCCTTCCCCTGTTGAGAAGCGGTTCTAAGTTTAGTCCGTGGGCTTTCCTTTACTTGTGTCAGTCTTTAAGTAGAAGCAGGGAGTCGTGGAATCACTATGGCAGTAGCTACTCTGTGATTCACAGTTTTTTAACAGCTCACGCGCCGCTCAGTCTCGGTACTTCAACAAATGGAGGCGTGCCACTGTGTGATTGACATCTATGTGTATGTGAATGTCTAACGCTGTTGGCCAGTGCTCAGTGGCGGTAATGTCAGATTGCACGGGGCTCTGTGGGACGGTGGTCGAGCTCAGCAAAGATGGTGAGTTTGACTGAAACTTCCTTCTTATGTGCTGAAGTAGCGGTTCTCTTTCTTAACATTCGTTTCGATGTCTCACTATGGGATACGCCCCTCCGCGGATTCCTCAGAAGCACTTATCTCAATACGCCAATCCTGATTGGCCAGTGACCGTGACGTACGCGTCCCCCTGCTACTATAAGTAGCAAGCGTCCCCACGCACGCACTATTCAATCACCTCTTCTCGCTTCGGTGGTCGCTTATCTCTGAGGTAAGTTAGCTCAACTGTTCACAGACAGAGCCTTCTAATATTCTCTCCGTCGCCGAACGTTAACTAACCGTCCTTCTGTCCTGACCTTCACCCTAGGCTCGGGGCATAACGAGCAGCTTCACACTCCAGTGCATCTGTTCGTTCTATGCTAACACACCAGTTAGCCAACATGGAAGCCGCTCCTCCCACCAGAGGAGTCGACGGCGCAGGAGCTTGCCTCTGTACCTGTGGGAACAAAATCTCAAGCAAAGACCCGCACAGGGTCTGCTCGAGCTGCCTCGGGCTGGAACATGCCCAGCTGGCATTGGAAGTCCCCGGATCATGTGAGAGCTGCGCTTGCTTCACTCTAAAGAGCCCTCGCCGGCGGCTAGCGCACCAAGCTAGCCTGTCGGGGAAGGACCCTTGCCTGCCGGCCCCTGGGCCACCGCCTGGGGACGCCAGCGAACATGTCCTCCCGGAGCCGGAACCGTGTGCCGAACTCAGCTGGGGCTCACAGCTCGAACTGGCCGGTCCGAGCCACCCTGCCGAGGACGTGTTGGAGTTGGACTACGGAGACGACGAGGACACCTCGGAACTCCTCATTTCAGAGGAGGACGAAGAGGACGACGTCTTTCTCCCCATCGCTCAGGCCTCCATGCCTAGCTTTCCGTCCTCTCCCAGGGATGGAGCGGCTTCTCCGGCCGCCCACCTGGACATGCAGTCAGTCTGCCGACGCGCTGCGACCAGGCTCAACATCCCTTGGCCCACCGTGGTCACTGAGGCTGTCAGATCCCGCTACGAGGGAAAGAAGCTGCCTCAGGCCACGAGGGCGGCAAAGCCCCTCCTTCCCGGAGCTACTCCAAGAAGTGAGGTCCTCCTGGGACAAACACCCGTTCAGCTCCAGGTCTCCTGTCCAAGGAGCCTCCTCGCTGGACTTCGAAGGGATGGAGAAGGCTGGCATGCTTCGCATGCCGCCGATGGAACCGCTGGTTGCAGCCCACCTGCACCCACGGCTCTCGGCGACTTCCTCCAGTCCTCCCGCTCTCCCTGCGAAGGCGGACCGCTTCCAGTCGGCGCTGAACGAGAGGGCGTACAAGGCTGCTGCCATCTCGGTCCGAGCTTTGAATGTCTCCTCCATGCTCTCGGCGTACCAAGCCGAGCTCTGTGAGGACATGAATACGAAGCCGGACCCGGAGGTGTGGGAGGAAATCACCGTACTGACCGACATCTGCCTGCGTGTGCAGCGCTGCGCGGTCCATGATACAGCTAAAGCTATGGGCATGATGGTGCTTCAAGAACGTGCACGATGGCTGAACCTCACCAACCTCTCTGAGAGAGAGAAGGAGGACATTTTGGACATGCCAATCGTGCCTGAAGGCATTTTTGGCTCTGCCCTGGCATCAATGCAGCAATGGTGTGCGGCCAAAAAGAAAGAGGATGAAGCCCTTAATCTCTGCCTTCCCCGTAAACCCTCACCGGCGCTGCCGGCTCGGCCGAACCTGCCTCAGGCAGCTGCCCGAGCCCAGCCTCAGTTCCGGATCCCAAAGCGCCCGAAGCCTCAAACTGTCCAACCAGCTCCTTCGGGCTCAGAGCCTCGACCAGTTTGGCCTCAGGGATCTGGCAACCAAGCTGCTCCGCCGCCGGGACAATCCACCAGACACGGCGGTCAGCAGG